AGACCTACACTATCATTCAAATTTATGCGCCAACACCTGGAGCCAAAGAGGAGGAAACAGATGATTTCTGTGAACTGTTGCAGTCAGAAATCAATTGAACATGTAACCAAGATGCATTATTAATAGTAATGGGTGACTGGAATGTGAAAGTTGGGAACCTGGAAGAAGGATCAGTAGTCAGAAAATAAGGACTTGGTAGCAGAAATGAGGCTGGGGATAGAATGATAGTATTCTGTACAACCAATGATTTATTCATAACCAATACCTTTTATAAGATACATAAATGCAGGCTGCGCACATGGATTTCACCTGATGAGATACACAGGAATCAGGTCAATTACATCTGTGGAAGGAATTGTTGGAGAAGTTCAATATCAGCAGTGAAAACTAGGCCAGGTGCTGATTGTGCAACAGACCATTAACTACTCATATGCAAGTTCAAATTAAAGGCTAAAGAAGATTAAATCATATCTGCAGGAATCAAAATTTGATCTTGAGTATATCCCCTATGAATTTAAAAACCAACTCAGGAATAGGTTTGAGGCTTTGAACATTAATGAATGAAGATATTTCGATTAGCTGTTCAAATTCTCTGTAGCAAACTATTACTCTGAGGATAAAAATGCATCCCATGGTGTAAAGAAATATAACGGAGCAATCCAAACTGGCGCAGTATCATTTGTTCTAATTCTCTTGCTTAGTGTGGTAAGCATTTGCATCTACCACCAGAGAAGCAGAGTCTAGTCTGAAGTATTTTTCTATTCATACCAAGATCTATTTGTAGCTTTCCTGTCTGTCCTGCTCACTGTGGGCAGGGCCTTCCCTTAGGGAACTCCACCCTGTAGTCAGTCATCTGCAGTCTCTATCTCTCTTGTTGACAGAATGGCCCTTATTGGCATTTTTTTGCCTCAGTGTGCAAGAGGAATATGAGTAGCTTAAGTTCATTTGTCCATTGCTGTACTTTTCTCATGTGTATTCATTTCATGGGTCCAGTTGTCTACATCAAGGGAGAATCCTGTGTCAAGGATACCTAGTCACTGGCTCTAGTCCTAGAAGTGGATCCACGCACCCCTCAGAGTTATACTGGCCTGTGTGTGCCACACACATTTTTTTTACTTTTTAAAAAGTTAACCCCATACAACCTTAAGATCATGGTTCACTAAAGAAAAAAAATATATTAATTGGACTTTATTTTGCAAATGACATTGTTAAGAAAATGAAAAATTGAACCACAGATTTGAAGTGTTTGCAAAACACATACCTGATAATGAATTTGTATCTAGAATAGGTAAGATTTGTGTCTGTTGCTGTTGTTGTTATATGCCATCGAGTCACTGGAGACTCATAGTGACCCTATGTACAGCAGCCCTTAACCTTACTGTATCCTGTGCTAACCTTATCGTCTCCGACACACTTACCCCCATTACCCCAGTCACTGAGTCAATCATGTCATCAAGGGTCTTCCTTTCTTGCACTGTCCCTCCACTCTCCCAAACATGATGTCCCTCTCCAAGAACTGGTTCCTCCTTGTAACATGTCCAAAGCATATCAGATGGAGCTTCAAAATCTAACATATATAAAGAACTTTCAGGAAGCAGTTTAGTTAAAAATGGGCAAAATATTTAATTAGACATTTCATCAAAGAAGGTAGGTGAAAAGAGTACATAAATAGTATTAATAATTATAGAAATTAAAACTACAATGAGATACCATTAACCACCCATCAGAAAATGGTTTAATTATGTACAGTGTGGTCATCAAATGGATTACATAAAACACGATGCACATGTGTACCTCCTCCAGGGTCAAGAAAAGCGCAAGCGAGCTTAGTGAGTGCAGCCTGAGTCTCACAGCTGTTCTTCGATGAGGTCCTGGTCACTAAACATGCAAATCAACCACAAACTGTGAAAACTGAGAGAAGAGTAAATCAGCACTTTACTTTGGGGCAAGGAAAATAAGCGAAACAGTGACAGAAGGCTAGCTAGGCTTTGGGATGGCTCTCCTGGTCTAGCACAATGATGCCTGTTTGGATGAAGATGACTGGGGATGGTGCAGAATCCCAGCCTGGCAGCCACCAAGCCCATAATTAAGCGAGTCTGTGTCTTTTGCTTCTTCATTTCAGCTCTGATCTTTGGTCCTTTTTTTTTTTTTGGTCAGATTGAGAGGCAAAGTCCTCAATGATTTTCTAAAACTTTTGGCTTTTGAGCATTCCTGGGTACACATACATCCCTTTCTGCTCAGCTCCAGTTACGCTGACTGAAGTTCATGGCGTAGTTGGTCTTAGTGGGGAATGGCTTGGTCTGGGGAGAGCAGGAGGTGCCCTGCGTGGGAGGTCAGCTCCGCTAGGCATGGCCACCACCCTTGGAAGCTAGCCGTCGTGGGAATGAACCCTCCAGGAAGGAATCTGCTGGTGATGCACTGGAGGCTGGGGTCTAGGCTCCGTGACTTAGTCCTGCTGGCCGAGAGGCCTGCCAGGGTGGCTGGCTGGCTTCCAGACAAGAAGAGGGTCCTCTGCCATTGGCTTAGAGCTGCGTGTGGATGCTGCAGCCTTGGCCCGGCCAGGGTGTCCCACCTTCCGAGAAAGTCTGATTGGCTGAAGGAGACCACTATCATGGACTCTGCTGATAGACCTCCCAGGTGCAGGAAGACCATTCTGGAAGATTGAGGTGGGGCACTGTGAGTAGGGGGAAGCCTTTGGGCCATGTGTCAAAAGGATCCGGATGAAGAAACTCACCAGAACAACCAAAGTTGGAGCAGGTCCGAGTGTCTGGGTTGGCAGCCATCAGGAAAAAGGGTCAAATGGGTCTGAGGCGGCTGGTGGCCCTCAAGGGTGTGCAGGAACTGGTGAAGAACATCTCACCCTCTCTGCTCAGCAGGTTGCCTGCACGCCCCTGAGGCGCAGTGGGGCGGGGCCAAGAGTGAACTGTGCAGGTGAGCATTGCTGGAAGTGGCCTCTCCAGCCTGCGTGGGGGGCATTGGCCCCGCCTCCGAGTGCAGGTCCAAGCTGTCCTTGGGCATCTGCCCCAGGAGCTCTGTGATGGATGACTTAGGATTCACATTTCTCAAAGTGACGATTTCCTCTTGCTGGTTCACCAGCTCAGTGATTGACGGCTACTCCTCCAGGTTCACCTTCAGAGTAAAATGAATGAGGTCATGAAAGAGGGCCATCATTTAGAGGAATTGAGCATTTCCCCTTAAAGATGCAAAGTTTTATACTGTCTTCAAAAGGATGCAGCTGGAAGTCCAGCAGGTATGGAATGCAGCCCGTGACTCCACTCAGATATTCTGCTTCTCATTCATGGCAGAGTTGAAGTACAGGTCAGCCATCCCTGGTTTTCTGTATATGGAAGTCTTGTTCCTGTGATCGTCTCCCTCCACCACTGCTCACTTCTGAGTGCACCAGCTGTATTCAGAGTAATGTAGTGTGGTCGTGGCACTGCCGGAGTCACAGAACTTGATGGTCCCCTGGTGACTAAACTGCAAGTTTTCAACCTTGAATGATAGTCGGCTTCTGCTTGTGCACGTGCTGCACTGCTCTGCACGTCTGATGAAAAGTTTCTCAGAACCCTATCCCACAAGACACAAGAGAGGACTTCTGGAATCCATTTTCTTTATGAAGTCCTTTGTAGAGCTCCAGCAGCAGTAGGACCTCAGCCTGCCCCAGGTCTGACTCTTCTTTTCCTATAGAGGCCACAGAAAAAAACTTAACAATGTTGAGGTGGTTTGAGAGCTCTCTCATGAAGCTGACTTCTTGAATGATTGCTCTGCTTTTATCCTCCTCATTGGACAACAGCCTCTTTACAATATACTCTCTGCCACTTACAAGATTCTGAGCTTCATATACAACCACAAACCCTGCATTGGCCAAGGGTTCCCTCCCCTGCACCTGCAGCTCACCCAGTTCCACCTTCTACCCCCAAAGTCCTGGTTGTAGCCTGCAGCATGGCTCTACAAAGGACTTCATGGAGAGGGACATGATGCTGGGAAGGGTGGAGGGTCACCGAAGGAGAGGAAGACCCTCAACCAGGAGGATTGAAAGAGTGACTGCTGCAGTGGGCTCTTGTGTGTCAGGAAGTGTGAGGACGGTGCAGGATAGAACAGGGTTCAGGTCTTTTTTCATGGGATCGCTATAAGTCATACTTGATGACACCTGAGCTCAACAACAATCTGTGTTCACTATTACCCCATCTTTTCAGGTCCCCATTTGGCCTTTCCTAATTGCCTCGCTCCCTCTGTTCACCAAACTCTGCGACCCCATGCTTTCACCACCTTCCTGCCCTCAGCTCCTCCCTCTGCCCCCTCTCCCTTGGATTTTTCTACCCAGCTTACTAGTTACCTTCTATTTTGATAATGGTCTTATGCAGTGTTTGTCCTTATGAGACTGAGATAGTTCACTCAGGGGAAGTTATTTTCTAATGACTTCTTACTACAAATTATTTCAACCAGAATAACATTAATGACACATTTTTAGAAATTTAGAGACAATTCCAATATAAGCGTTGTCAATATAATAATGTAGTCTTTTAATGTAAAAGAAAGAAAGAAGCACCTCTTGGAGTATCACAGCTTTTTGTTTGTTTGTTTGTTTTTTTGTTGGTTTTTTGTTGTTGTTGTTACTCTGACTTTTCTTTTCTCGCCCTTTCTTAGCATTTTTGGGAAAAGTTAAATAAACTGTAAGGGTCCCTTGTTTTGAAATAGAGGATAATGCATAGGTTTTACTATTCTTGTGTACCAGGAACTAAAGTGCTTTTTATTTTTCATTTCAATATATATAAATTCATTATTTTCTAGCATCTATCTTGCTTTTCTTTTTTGTTGTTGTTACTAGAAACTATTCATCTGTGCTACTTTCTCCACCCCACCCCCTCGTTACCCTTGTGATTAACTAACTGCCCCTCATAACCTGCCCGAGAATCCACAATGGGTCCATTCCGACTCTGTGGTACACAGTCCTTGTTAAGGAAGCATTCCATTAATTCTGAGGTTTCTTTTCTTTACAGTGGTCAAGTGTCCTTTCCCAACAGTTGAAAATGGAGAACAGGTATCAGGATTTGGAAAAACTCATAGCTATAAAGCACAGGTTACATTTAAATGCCTGTCGGGGTTTTTCATGGATGGACACAGCACAGTTGTCTGTGAGGAAGATAATGCATGGGTCCCTGAAATTCCAAAATGTGTTAAAGGTATGTCTTTTTCCTTTTTTTTTTTTTTTAAAAAAAGCTTTATTTCTTTGACATTAAATATCAGTGATACAGACTATTTAGGGAACTCTAGTGGCCTAGTGGTAAGGAGCTGTGCTGCCAACGCAAAGACATGCTGTATGAATCCACCAGCTGCTCCACAGGAGAAAGATGGACAGTCCCCCTTGGAATTGACTATCTCTGAAAACTTGCTTGGAGGGTGAGCTGAGGGTTGGATCTGACCCCAAGGTATACAACAATAACAAGAAGAATATTTGGAAAAAAACAATGTTAGTGTTTAACTCTTGTCTTGTATTCATTTCCATGGCAGATGTATAACATAAAAATTCATACTCAGTCCTGCTTTTCAAATTTTGTATTTTCATCAGGGCATCAGTATATAAACTTCTGTTATATATATGTGTGTGTGTGTATATATATACATATAAAAACAGATAAATACAAATATACAGACAAACACATAAACAATAAACTAAATTAGTGTAGAATGAAAGCTATTATTCATAAAAATGAAATACAAACGATTACTCGAAGTTATTGGCTCAGTTTGCATTACTGCTGACCATTGAACAACATAGGGGCTGAGGATGCCAACACTCTATGCAGTTGAAAAATCTCTGTCTAACTTTTGACTCCCCAAAAACTTAACTAATAGCCTACTGTTGACCAGAAGCCTTGCTGACTCCCGTGAAAGCTACATTTCAGTACAAGACCAAAAGGGTTTTTGCAAAAAGTCCAAGGTTTTTGTGCCAGCTGATGTAGCTACACAAATTTCCTGGTTGGTGGTTTTTGGGTGGTTGTTGTTTTGTTTTTACAGTGGTCCTTACAATGCATTAATTGTTTTGAAGTGATGGGCATTCACAGTTGCAGACCTCAATCTAGGGTACACCTCAAGCATTTCAAGTTTTTTATTGTATGACTTTTCTCTGCTTCTGAGGAGCACTTTGGCATCACTCTTGACAGTTGATGTGGGTCCACTGGAGTTATTTAAGGTTTACTTTATTGGACTAACCACTCTGAAATATGTGTGACAGCTGCCAAGAGACCTGTTTTTACTGTGCTGTCCGATTCACAGGAGGGATGGACTACTGCCACAGAAAGCTAGAGTCATATGGCGTGTTTATAAAAATCTGCACATGAGTAGACCTACACAGTTCCAACTCAGGTTGTTCACGTGTCAAGTGTGCTTGGTTTTCCAGTGTTGACTTCTCCATTCTAAACCTCCAAATTTGGGTCATTGCAGTTTAGCAATTTTGTCCTTCTGTTGTTTCAGAAATCCTTCTAAGTGCCTGGTAAAAATGCCAGCAGTAACTCTCGAGTGTTTGATACAATTTACTATTTTGTTTTCCAGCCCCGGCTACTACCAGTGCCAAACCTTCTAGTGCCAAACCTTCTAGTGCAAACCCTCCCAGTGCACAGCCTCCTCCCAGTGCACAGCCTCCTCCCAGTGCACAGCCTCCATTTTCAAGTCATCCAGGTTTAGTAACTTCCTGTTCTATTTTTAAAAAAAAATCAATTCCTGGAGATTTCCCCTCATTAATCATTTTCGGTGGTGAAAGGAGGATGAAATTTTTTACAGCTTTTAAAAAAATGATTATACATAATGATTCTAAATTATTTGCCACAGTCTGAAAATACGAAGAGATAATGTGAATTTAAGTAAACATGGTAAACTTTCAGTGTGTTTTCTCATACACAAGGTGGTTTATGAACTTCTTCACCAGCCAATGTTGTCATATGCTGTCTGTGCAATTCTGATTCTTAGTGACCATACAGGACAGACTCGAACTGCTGGGCTGTAATACTTAGGTTGTTATGAATTGGAATTGCCTTTATGGCAATAGGTAATCTCTATGGGAGCAGATTGCCTTAGCAGAGAGCCTAAAAGAGCATATAAGAAGCTCTTAAAATTAGCTAGTGTGATGTATTAAAACTAGTATCAGTGGAAAGGAAGGTCCATGACGACTAGTTATTTTCCCTATGTGAATTATTTTTATCCACTTTACTATTTTAGTTATTCTTTTAAAAATCGATCTTTTGGGGGTGTGTGAAGGAAATGGGAAGGATCTGATATGAAAAACAATGTATACCAACTTTGTAAATACACCAGTATTTAAAAAAAAAAAGTGTATCTCCCTAGTCCAGGTCTGTATTTCATTCCTTAGCTTGTTGTTGTGTACCATTGAGTCTGAACGAACCCATAGGTGACCTTCCAGCGTATTTTCAGAGGCTTAAATCGCTCAGGAGGAGATTATCCATCCTTCTCCCACAGAGCAGGTGGCCATTTTAATTCCTTTTAACTGAAACATTTAAACTGCAAATATCTTATTTTTCTCAAATAATTTCTGTATTTCTTCTCCTCATCCTCCTGTCTCATAGAGTTAATTCTTTTTTCATTATTGAGCAGTTTTCTTTGGTATCAGGAACTAAATTTTTGTTTGTTATGTGCCATTGAATCCCTGCAATTCACAGCGACCCTATGCACAATAGCTCTGAACCCTGCGTTATCCTGAGCCAGTCTCACTGTCTCCAACACAGCTACCCCCTTACCCCAGTTACTGTGTCAATCAGTCTCATCTAGGGTCTTCTCTTGTGCTGCTCCTTCACCCTTCCAAGCATGATGACCTTCTCCAAGGACTTGGTCCCTCCTGGCCACGTGCCCAAAGTACAATTGAAAAATCAGGAGAAGTTCTTAATTACTGAAATGAAGCGGAGGCTTTGTTAGAGGGCCAAGCTTGCAAGGATCAACTCTCTTCTGTTTACAATCTGAAGGATTACTTTGATGTGAATGAGGGATTATCTCCTAGATTTCAGTGCTGTTATTTTGGCTTCATCTTGGTTGCAGCAGAAGCAAGAGTCAGCAGGAATAGTTGAAAGAGCAGCGGTCGAGGCACACTCCGCTCATGGTCCACGTTTGCCTCAGCTTGCCTAAGGAATGTCATTTGCATGGGCTTTAATTTGCCTGTGATTTAATGATGTTGAATTCAAGCAAATATTAATTACTGGGCAAACTAATTTGTTTACATATTCTGTATCTCTCAAATGTTTAAATTGGTCATTTGAAAGAAGGAGAACTGTGGCCACCTTAGCACTGTAATTAAGAATACCATCTTATAACACCTATAAACATATACCTTGTAGCCTCTTACTTGAGTACCAAGTGGTTTTGGGGGAAAGAGATTTTTTTTAAAAAAAATTGATAAAAGAACACAACTAAGATTGCACATGAAACGTATTCTCATTGAGTCATCACTTTTTCACTTATGTGCCTCCTGAGTATATACTGAGTTGACCATGAGCATTTCATAACACAATTAAAAATAAATTTGTTAAACACAAATGAAAGAAGAGAGGACTGAAGAATGTATCAAAAGTATCACTAGCATATAATGTTGGTTGTTGTTGTTGTGAGGTCCCATCAAGTGCAACTCACAGTGACCCTATGGACAGTGAATCTGTACCCTCCACTATCCTGTGCCAGCCTCCGCATCTCTGCTGTACTTCACCCATTGTTACAGTCACAGTGTCAGTCCATCTCATTGAGGCTTGTCTGCTTTTTCCCTGACCCCTCCACCTCTCCAAGTACGATGTCCTTTCCCATGAACTGACCCCTCCTAAAAACATACCCAAAGTATGTGAGATGAAGTTTGTTAGAAAGATCTAAATAAGAAAATACGTCTAAAAATATTAAGTTGAAAAGAGGAAGATGCACATTAGGTAGTAAGAGAGCCCCCTTTAATGTTTTATTTTTGAAGTTACATTTATTTGAGGGAGCTCTGGTGGCCTAGTGGCAAGAAGCTGTGCTGCAGTCCCAAAGGCGTGTGGTTTAAATCCACCAGATGCTCCGCTGGAGAAGGAAGGGCAATCTCTTTCTGTGCCAGTTGGATCCGACTCAACGATACACAACAAGAAGAGAAAAAACCCTCAAACATTTATTTACTTTAACTTGTTAAGTACTGAGCTGCTGACTGAATGGTCAGTGGTCAAAGGCCATCAGCAGCTCCTCCGGAGAAGACAGACAGTCTCTTCCTGTAAAGGTTACAGCCTGTCAGGTAGTTCTAGTCTGTAATATGAGACCACTATGAGTCTAAATGGACTTGAGAGCACACAACAACTTATAGGATTGTCACTATACAATACAAAGGTGAACATTTTTAATCATCTCTGCAAACTTTGCAAATGTTATTTGGCTGAAATTTGCAAAAGTAGAATTGCAAAGTGTGTAAAGTATGTATGGTGATCATTTTAACTAGTAATGAACTTCTTTTATAAATGAATATTTCATTTTCATTAAATCTTTACCATTGTGTGGATCAGATATCTCCAAATGCAGGTATTTCTAGTTCAGGGACTTTTATTTACTTTTATTATTTAGAACTCTATAAGGTGATGGAGGAAAAATTAATGTATTAGTTTAATTTGTGCTGCTTTTTCTTTTTCCAGCTACTACTCCTATGAGCACAACGCCAAATGCAGGTATTTCTGGTTCAGTAGCTTTTATATATTAATATTATTTAGAACTCTATAAGGTGATAAAGGAAAAATTAATGTATTATTTTAATATGTGCTTCTTTAATTATCAGTGTGATGAACTTTTTTCCATCTGTATTTCTCAATACTCTATCGGCTATTTATTTATGTCCTTGCTATGTTTTTATATGTTGTTGTTGTTGACTGCTTTCAAGTTGAGCATGACTCATAGCGACCCTGTGAACAAAAGGCCTGAAGCCCCTCTGCAGCTATCGACATTTATCAAAGTTCATAGAGTTTCTGGAGGCAAGTTGTTTACGAAGTGGATGCCACTCCTGCTTCCAATTTGAATGCAAAGGAGTATAAATTTCTTGATTTAACTAGTAGAAGGACAAAATTAAGATTCACATTTGCACCGGCAACCCAATACCAAGAAAAAAGATTCCATGGAGATTTCTCACAGCCTAGGGAGGAAAAGTAAAATATTGCTTTATAAAACCTAGATGCTAGGT